GCCATATTTCGATTCCGAATGAATCATCATCAGTGCCCCTTGTTGTATATATAGGGAAATATTGACTTTGTCAAGATTAACTTTGACGTTGTAAAAATTAACTTTGGTGTTGTAAAATTGAACTTTGATGCCACACAAATTTTATTATCCAAACAAAACTTGATAATATCAATAATGTCCAAAAGTTTATCCTGTTTATTGTTAGCCATTTGAGCAAGTTTAAGAGTAGTTTTATCGAACATTGAATTATCCAAGTCGTTCAAAATCAGTCTTTTGCTATTATTAAAATCGTCAAGTCCATAAAATTTGTTTACGCTATTAATAAAAGCCTCATTATCGAGAGAGCCTATATTATTATATAAATAAAACAAAACTTCATTTATTTGGATAGCACGTGTCGATGCCATAACCAAAAACTAATATATATATATATATATATATATATATAGGTTCAGACCGTCGTCTATACAGTTATTAAGAATTATCACCGCATTTGTACTCAACAATGCGGAAATTGATTTATTTGTTTGGGAACTTTTTATGCCAAACGTTTTTAAGAAATGCTGTGTTAATTTCTATTAAGAAAATAATGAAAGAAATTCATTGAAAACCAAAACTCAGCATTCATAATATGGTCTGCACAAATGCGTTCATAACGAACGTTTAAAGGATGTTTTAATTTCAACCCCTTCAACAGCTTACTAAGGATAACAATTTTTTATTCAAATTATCAATTTTTTCAATCGTCACTTTTCTTTGAGAAAAAATTCCATCCTGCTCTGAATCTTTAAGGCAAACATACATGGCGTTGAACTGAAACGCTACAGATTCAAACGATGCAGTACGACTTGCACGTTACGAGGAAGCTCCCAATTACTTCTCTAGATAAGCTGCAACAAGTCAGGCAAGCGAAAAATAGTGGAAGATATTTTTTGTGGCTGCCAGCTTAATCCAGTTGAACTTTTTTTTGGTCAAATCTTTGATCGTTAAGCAAACTAAATTAAGATTACTATGTAGGATTTTATATTTTTCTTGGATCATTTTTCTTAGTAAGTGACTGTGCATATATAAATATATATATTACATACCTATATTATTTATATGTATATATAATCTAAAATCTGTTTAACTTAATTCACACAATAATGCTTATTTGTATCATTGACTATTTGATAACAAGCTTGATTGACAGAGCGTAATAACAACGTTTGATTGATTGATTGCCATCACGCAGGTTCTCACTTCAAAGTATTGCTCCGAAGAAGGGTTGGAAGATGCAACGAACCTGTTACTCCAACTGGCCAAGCACAATGCACCGACCAGGACCATCATATTGAAGCTGCTGATCCAAGGGGTGCATTTGCTCGGAGCAAGTGTCTGCCAACATATCAGGTCGGCCATCTTGTTTTTCTTTTCTTTTATTCTTTCTTTTCTTTCTCTCTTTCTTTCTCATCTCTTTTTTTTACTCAGTTCAAAAAACAACATAGAACGTTGCAACTAGAAAAAATTTGGTTAATATTTTTTTGTATGATAACATTTGTACTTGCTTTATGATACTTTGAGTATCACTATTTTACATGACGAATGAATTTAATTCTCCGTAATTTCTTATCGTTGCTGTATAATACAATTGTAGATCATTATCTGACGAGCTATCAAGTTTGTGTGCGTCTGAGATGAAGGAAGATGATGATGTGGCTAGCTCACTGGCGTCAACGTCGTCCAATTTGAAAGGGGTGCTGCAAGACAGGTCGGTCGTCATCATCATCTGTCATCATCGTCGCCCCCATCATTGCAACCATAATCACCTTTTTATTCCTCATCATTCAAAATTGTCAACATTTACATTTTCATCTGTAATTATATTCTCATCCTTGAAATCTTTGCCACTATCTGTAATTCTTCAACAATTAATATTTAAATATTTCTCTACATTTCATATCACAAAAGAAGGGATGATAATTTAAAATTGGTGCATTATCGAGTACTAGCCACTAACCAAAAGATATCTTTAAAATAATTACGATAGCCCACTGAATTGTAAAATGACACAAACAAACGAACGAATGAACAAACATACAAAGGTACACGGGTGGGCAGATCATCGTGCACGTCAACTCAGCTACAAAACTGAAGGCACGGGGCAGGGAGTTGCAACTTGCATCCATGCAACAACTCACCAACAAAACATCCAGTCAGAACTTCCTGCTGAGGCTGCTTAAGGTGATAATTCATCTGAGAGAGGCAATCAGAAACAACAAGAAAGGTTGGTGTGGTGGTCTGAACGGGGATTTTTATTATTCCAAAATGAGGGCAGCTATTATTATATAATGAACTAAAACAGACTTGAATAATATTTAACATTATGTTATGTTGTGTCGTGAACTGCTTCTTCTACTAAATGTTTGTGTTCGACGTATCATCCTACGAGAACTACTAAGAAGTGTAAATAATAATAATAATAATAATATGACAACGTTGTTTGCATACAGCTCAACAGACAACAACATCTTCAACTGCAGCAACTCCTGCAGCAACTACAACATCTACTGCTGCTCATTCATCTCTTCCAGCAACAACAACAACAACCAGCATAGCAACACCAGCCTCCACTAGCACATTGCAACAACAAGCACCACCACAATCGTCTGCCACAAATTCGTACTCACAATCTCCAATGGAAGTTGATAATGCAGGTTGGTGCACTATGATTAGGATGATGATGAGGAGGTTGTGTTGATTATGATCATGTTATATGTTTTCCTTGATGATGGTAATGTCATTTATGATAATTGATTACGATGTCGATGTTCTTTATGGCTGCCTTAATGATGATGATTTCATTAAAATATTACCACTGGAATGCAAATTGCTGTGAAATATTGCATTGCACAACATCACGTCACATTACAAAACATGCCACAAACGGCACTTCCACACTTTTCAAAGGCAACAATTGACGAAAATATAACAAAGACACACTAACTCACAACATTTCACCATCATTATTTATCACCAACAACAAGACAATCAACCAAGAAACAACAACAACACCATCATTATCACTATCGACCGCAGCAACGACAGCAGCAGTAGCAGATGCCGACTCAGACGCATCATCACCTTCAGCAACATCAACATTACTTGGTTGTTTAACTGAACACATCCAACTCGATGATTTATGGACAGCTCTTGAGGACTGCCTGCTCCTTCTAGCCAAGATGCCCGACAACTATGCAGTCCTCGTGCTTCAACCGGCAGTTGAGGCTTTCTTTTTGGCTCATGCTGGTTGGTGCCCTCTTCTCTTTTGTGCTGCTCTGTCTCTTTTCTCCTACTCTTCTTTGTTCACTTCTGTTGTGTTTGGTTTGATCTGTTGTGTTGGGTTGCTACGTATGATATCCACAATGGCGACAGCAACTTCCTACGATGAAATATTACTAAAAATTGGTGGTGATCATTGTACGTGACAGAGAAATAATGATATTTGCAGGTGAAAAAGACAACCAATTAAAGAGGGACACGTCATCAAGCAGAAGGGAGGATCAATTGGCTCACGTGGCTTTCTCTGCCCCCATGTCTCCCAATGTCCAATCAGATCTCATGTCACCCAATATTATCCAATCAGAGACTGCCAGGCTTGATAGCAACTCTGTAACCAGCAACAACACGTCAACAACGGCAGCAAACAAATGTTTAAGACCAGAAGTTCAAAAGTTCATAAGTTTTGCTGGTACGTTATTGGTTGAGATTATTGGTGCAACTGTCAGTGTGTAACCATGATGATAATATTTATGTAGTTATGTGTGCATAAAAACCTGTGGAAATGCAAATACGAATAAACACACAAACAAACATACAGAAACCCACAGAACAGTTTTGAATCAGATATTACGCCAGTCGACATCCCCACTTTCTGAAGGAGCATTCTCCGTCCTCGTCGACTACACGAAAGTTCTCGACTTTGATATCAAGGTTTCTTATGTGCTCTTGTAGGCTGCTTTAGTTCAAAATTTCTGTTATAAAATATCATCGCGTTCTGTGTCTTCTATCACCATTGTTTGTTTTTATTCACGGATTCGTTCATGTATTTGTTTAAACATTCATTGATCTTGGTATTTTCGTTACTTGTCGAAATAATCAAATGTTGGTTGTTTATTTTTTAATGTCGATAGTGCTTGAGTGGTTGATTGCAAGGCGTGCTTGGTGGAGGTGCTGTGTCTCGTGGTCTGAGTGCCGGGTGGCCTCAGTTCTCCTGGCCCAAAAAAAATGGAAACATCGGTTTTTCAGGCTACTTTTGTGATAAGAAGGTATTGAGAAGGCTATTTAGAATTTTTAGAAATAGTAAAATGTTCAACTGAGAATTAGTTGGGTGAAGGATCTAGGCTTGGTGTGCTGGATTATGACGCACATTAGGAGTGCTAGATTATTTGGTGTTTGTACTATAGGTGCTAGATTATTTAGAGGTGTTCATGTGTAGGTTGAGGACCATGTGTTATGGTCAAAGTGGACTGATGGAGCGCACCTGAGGCAGCATGGTGGCAGTTTGGGAAAAGTTGCGGATTGTTCCAAGAGGAGCTAGATGTCTTTGAACGATAGCAGTGAACGATAGTGATAATGATGATGGTGGCGATGATGATGGTGATGATACCGCACTGTAACGTAATGAAGAGCTACACGTACTGCGCTGCAGTGTTGGAGGATTAGATGCTGGCTGACTGAGTGGTGCAAATCAAACATTTCCACTCACCTCCATCAGCGATGTTTGTCTGCATGCAATTTGTTATATTAAAATGCGTGTTTTACTTGGTAAGTTTTGTTTGGACGTCTTCACGATTCGTCATCAGAGCCTGCATAATCTGTAATCTAAACTTATTAAAGAGTTTTATTCAAGAAATAAATTTATAAGAACTGTCCGTACGATTTAATTATCTTAAAATGCGGCAAGTCTATCAGCACGCTACCATTCATCGCCATCATCAGCATCATCTCACCAGCCACATATTTGCTCCTACCAACACCATCCAACTAACCGCCAACCAACTGAACGCAGCGTCGATACTTCCGACACGAGCTGGATCGGATGGACGAGGGCGTAAGGAAGGAGGACCTTGCAGTGCACGTGCGCAGGAGTCACGTATTTGAGGACTCTTTCAGGGAACTTCATAGGAGGACACCAGAGGAATGGAAGAATAGGTTCTATATTGTTTTCCAAGGTTAGTTAGTGCTGTAAGCGGTCTGTACCTTTATCTGCTTGCTCTTTGTATTTGTTATATGTCTATTGTGTGCGCGCATGGTGTGTGTGTGTGTGTTTTGTGCGCGCGCTCATTGTTTCAAGTGCTTACTGCATTAAACCTTAATTTTGAAGTTGAACGTGTAAATGAAATGAAGTGACGAGCAGTGATGTTAATTAAACTTGACTGATCCAAACAAACACCGCGCGTTATATTGTTACCACATCGCATGATCCAAAAATAAAATCTGAAACTGTGGCAGGTGAGGAGGGCCAAGATGCAGGTGGTTTGCTGAGAGAGTGGTACATCATCATCAGCCGCGAGATCTTCAACCCCATGTACGCCCTCTTCTGCACGAGTCCAGGCGACCGAGTGACCTACACCATCAATGCGTCCTCCCACTGCAACTCCAACCATCTCAGCTACTTCAAATTTGTTGGTAGGATCATCGCAAAGGCCATTTATGATAACAAGTTGCTAGAATGTTACTTTACCAGATCTTTTTACAAACACATTCTCGGAGTTCTCGTCAAGTCAGTTTCTTTTTCACTCGTTTTGATGAAAATTGTCGGTAATCTGTCTACTTGATTTATAAAAATTATCAGTCAGTGTTTGTTTACTTGTTCATCTCAATGTTAAATGTTCTTCTAAGGCATCTTGAATGTACAGCTCCCTGTGCTGAATCTTCACTTGCATTTGTTGAATATGTTTATTCCTCATTCTATTATTTTATTAATTGCATTAATTAATTAATTAATTAGTTGATTATTTGTTTGATTAATTAATTTATTAATTAAACAAACAAACAATCAAACCGCCAAAAAATTTATGCAATTAATTTATTGTTGTCCCCGTTTAGATACACTGACATGGAGAGTGAGGATTATGCCTTCTACAAAGGACTTGTATTTCTCATGGAGAATGATGTTGAAGATCTGGGCTACGAACTGACATTTAGTACTGAGGTTGTTTGATATTTTGGTCAGGCATGGTGATGATGTGGATGGATGATGCTGATGATCAGTTGATGAATGAATAATTAGGCTTGTCTATAAACGCTTATATCTAATATGACAAATGTATTGATCATTTGGTAACTAGAAAACAGCAGCACAGCGACGACAACAAATCATACCTTTTCTAACACAATTTCATCACTAGATTCAAGAGTTTGGTGTGACGACAATTCGAGATTTGAAGGAAGACGGTCGAAACATTCGAGTGACTGAAGAGAACAAGAAAGAGTATGTGAAGTTGGTGTGCCAGATGAAAATGACGGGAGCCATCAAGCAGCAGTTGACATCATTTCTTGACGGCTTCTACAGCATCATTCCCAAACGCCTCATCTCAATATTCAATGAACAGGAACTTGAGTTGCTCATATCAGGTCTTCCCAACATTGACATTGATGACCTTAAAGCCAACACTGAGATTCACAAGTACCAGGCCAATGCTCTGCAGGTCGGTCAGACTATGGATCTCGTTAATGTCGTTGTCCTTAACATATACATTCATGTATACGTTTCTACATTTTAAAGCATATTCGTAATTAAAGGTCCTCGTCTGTGTTCATCTCTTTCTGATGTTTGTTTTTATTTTACGATAAAAATTAGCTATCTAGGTCACCAAGTGTGCTTTTTCTCCGCAAGACCAGCTTTGTCTGTTTACACTTCACTTTCAACCATTCTCTTAGAATTATTTTTTTCTAAATTAATAGATGAATTCATTCATTGCACTGGCACAGATCTCATGGTTCTGGAGAGCTTTGAAGTCATTTGATCAGGCAGACAGGGCCAGGTTCCTTCAGTTTGTTACTGGCACCTCCAAAGTACCTTTGCAAGGTTTTGCCTATCTTGAAGGCATGAATGGTACTCAGAAATTTCAAATTCACAAAGATGATCGATCCACTGATCGCTTGCCATCTGCTCACACGTGGTTTGCTTCTTCGTCTCGTTGTTATGTTGTTTTATTTTTAGTTGTGTTATGTTGTTATGCTGATGTAGTCTAAACTGAGACTAATTTGCAGAAAACTTAATTACTAGAAAAGTTATTTAGTGATGTTCATGCTGATGTGATAGGTTATTGAGATGTGAAAGACCGAGTCTTCGAGATTTGATGCCATTTCAATTTGTTCATTGACTCAGCAGAACGTAATGCAAGGTTATATTGTAAGAATTGGAATGTGTAAAGCTTCCTGGAAATTTAGCGTGTTCTTGGCAGGTGGCAAAGTTACAGAAGTTTTCCAATAAGGATCGGTTTTTAATATTAATAAGTAAGGAATTGAAATTTGTTAAACTCTGATTTGAAACATGAAGTCATTCCAAAAAATTTGGAGACTTTGTTAAATTGAGACTAATTGATGCTATCAGTTGTTTTTTGAAATAAGAGGCCAAAAGACGATAGTGAAATTTAGACTAGTTTGCAGAGAGCTATGAAGACTGAGTATTTTGTTTTCATAGCGACATAATAAATATTAATTATTTCCTAACATAATCCATCGTATTTATAATACCTTGATAGCTTCAACCAGCTGGACCTGCCAGTGTACGAAACGTACGACAAGTTGAGGCAGATGCTTCTGCTGGCCATCCACGAGTGTTCAGAGGGCTTTGGACTAGCTTGATCCGTCTTACGCACCAATTAGCCTCACATACTTGCTAATCTTTGTTACATTAACATGTACAACAACATTGCGTTTACTTTTCTATCATCATTTTTCATTATTATATTATTATTATTATTATTTTATTATTATTATTATTTGCTGATAGCAGCCTCTTTGATTATCTTTTTTTTTACATTTTATTTGCAAACAGCAAAATGGACACAAAAATGAATAACGTGAAATGTTTTGAAAACGACGATCCTTAGTGTTAACGTATGTGTGCTTTCTTCCTTATGACATTTTTCCTGTTGATTAACATATTCTCGTTGATTAACACTAATTTTCGTTACAAACTTCATCATCAACATCACTTCATCTGCCACAAGTTGGCACGTAAACATTCTGATGATCATTTATTATTATTACTATATTTTTCTGTGGAACGGTTCATTTGTTTTATTCATCTGATTTTAAAAGCTCCTCATTTTAGCGGAAAGTCTGTGTCACTTCATGCGTGACTATCAAACAATGGATATATATATATATATTATGTATATGTATATATATATATATATATATATATATATATATATATATATAACGCACCCTCATTTACATTTACATATCACACGACAAAGAACACCAGTCAAACATTATCATCAGCATTATTGTTATTGTCATCGTCGTTATTATCTCTATCGTTATAACAATAATTTATTATTCTTATTATTCTTATCATAAACATACAACTTCACTAGATGGATAGTTGAGCACTAAAATATAATAACAAGGAAGACGCTGGGATGTACCTGTTTAGAGCACATTCACCCCATGGCATTTACGCCAGCATTAATTTGGATTGGATAGAGAGTTAATCGTTCGAACTTTTTGTTGAAAAAAATTACAGTAAAAAATAAATTAATTAATAGCTAATGGTTCGGTCGAGTTCATCATATCATCTCGTTTGTCGTTTCTTCCTATTTCGATGAAAATTTACAACTACTTTATCCATATTTTGCGTGTCTGAGATGTCAGCAGAAGGTTATTGAGATTTCTAATGTGAATGAGTACTTGGAGTTTATTCCGCAAAGTTCGCGAGGACTTTAATTAGTCTTTGACCATCTTTAAAATGAGATATTAGATATTTCAAATAATAAATTCTTATCAAATCATGATAAATTATAAAATGGTGCAATATTCAGGTTTGATTTAGCATCTGATCTCCTGAGAAAAGGTTACATAGCTGTGATGTGGTTTCTACAATGAACTTGAGATCAATCCTGTATTCTTTTCAGAACGAAACTTTTAAAAAATAAGGAAACCTTAACGTAAAGTTAAAATGTTTTAAAGTAGAACACTTGCATTAATGATGTAAATTTGTATGCAGATTCAGCTCAACCAACTCGCACAAATAAATGATGGTGTGAATCACAGTCGCAAGTTTTTTTTTTTTCATTTAAAAAAATTCTGACAGGCAGAATCTTAGATTGGCTTAACATGCAAGGAACCAACGTCAAACGAAGAGTAGAAACGATAAAAAAAGGAAGGTGAAGCAGAAATATAAACTAAAAACAATACTAACTTGGCACAATGCATTTTAAAAATATGAAATACAAAAAATATATAACATGGTATTGGAAAAATAAATAAACTCTGATACAAACTATTAATTATAAAATAAACTGACAATAAGAAAAAAGTAGGGTAGAGCAGGGTAAAAAACCCTGTTGAGGCAAAACGCCTATCTCTTAAAATAATCATGACATATTTAGCGCTAGATTATTTTTTCAGATTCAATCAATCATTCAATTAGTTGATAAAGCGCTATTTCCGCGATGTTCAACAGCGCTCCTCAATGAATTTTGCTAACAGATAGATCTTGATAGTCAACTTATTGAGTTTTGTAAATTTTGATATTTTATTGTTTTTGCAGAGTCGAGGTGAGTTTTAATGGATTTTCTCGGTTTTTACTGTAAATTGACTATGGCAAAACTTTACATTAGCGCAGCGCTTCTCAACCTTTTGAGATTCAAGGACCACTTTACTTTAAAATAAAAAATGTGTCTCAGCCACAGACCACACTGGTCTGAATTTATCCGACGCAAGATAGCATTGAATAAAGCCTAACGAATATATGGAAATTCTATCAGACGCAATCGTATATATAGAATAAATTGATTAGCGCTTTATTTTGCAAATTAATAATCTAATTTAGACTTTAATTTCTGATAATTTTAATATATTTTGAAATTTTTGGTAATCATTTTTAATTGTTCATAATAAATTTTTCACTCAATTTTCAACAATTTTGGACATGGAATTGATTAGCGCTTTACTTTCCGAATTAATAATCTTAAGATATACAAGAATTGTATATTGCTTTGTAATAATCTAATTCAAGTAAAATAATAGAAATATCTTTATTCTAGACATGTACAAGAATACATTTTCATTAACATATCTTGGTTATATTGACACACGGATTTTTAACAGAATTATTTGTAATATTTTTGATCAATAATTGGGCATGAGGCTGATCATCGCCACAGTCGATGGAACAAAATTATCTCAAAATCTAGTAAAATAATAAATATATATTTATTATAGACATATATACGAATACATATATATTAAAATATCTTAGTTATATTGCCACACGGATTTTTAACAGAATTATTTGTAATATTTTGGATCAATCATTAGACATGAGGCTGATCATCGCCACAGTCGACAGAACAAAATTATCTCAAAATCTAGTAAACTAATAAATATATATTTATTCTAGACATATACAAAATACATTTTCATTAAAATATCTCGGTTAGATTGACACACTGATTTTTAACAGAATTACTTGTAATATTTTGAATCAATAATAGGACATGAGGCAGATCATCGCCACAGCCGACAGAACAAAGTTAACTCAAAGTATAGTAAAATAATAGATATATCTTTATTCTAGACATGTACAAGAATACATTTTCATTAACATATCTTGGTTATATTGACACACGGATTTTTAACAGAATTATTTGTAATATTTTTGATCAATAATTGGGCATGAGGCTGATCATCGCCACAGTCGATGGAACAAAATTATCTCAAAATCTAGTAAAATAATAAATATATATTTATTATAGACATATATACGAATATAAATTGGAAGCAAATGAAGGCAAAATGTCTGGATTGGATGTCCCTGGATCAAAGCTCTGTGATGAGATTTCGAACTTTAGAAATGAAATGACCAGATCATTTGCTAGCGTGGTCAGTTCTGAGGTTGTGAAAAGTGTCCAAATCATAAACGATGATGTAAAAAAAGTGCAAAAAACGTTAACCAATGTAATGGAATCGAAGGAACGAGAGGCAAATATAGTGGTTTTTCGACTGAGTGAAGGAACGGACGACAGAAACAGGGTTTGCAAGATAATCAGTCATCTGACCGGTGGTGTCTGCGGTGAAACAAACATAATAAAGTTGGTACGACTTGGTAAGAAAAATGATACGGTGGTAAGACCAATTTTGGTAAAGTTTGATGATGTCAAGGTGAAGGAACTCGTTTTCAAAATGTTTTTAAAATGAAGTCAGTAGGCGATAATCTGTCTCATGTTGGTCTGAGTCATGATCTTACTGTTGAGCAAAGAGATGAACTTAAAAAATTGATGGACGACGCCAGACAGATGGAGAAAAACTCAACGGAGGGTTTTTTATACAGAGTGCGAGGAGACGTAGGAAAATGGAAAATAGTACATTTTCCTGCAAGGAAAGAGTCAAACTGATGAATGGACGACAAGGCCCTGGATATGAGTTATGCAGTTTGATCAAATGTGGTAGTCACGGTTTTCACAGTGGTGATGATGATAACAGCAATTCTAATGAAAATTTCAATCTGGGTTTGTTAAATGTTAGATCAATTGCACGTAATGTTGATGGGATTTATGGACTAATTTGTGATGGATTGGATGTGTTAGTGTTGACTGAAACTTGGCATGGCTTGCCTGGGAACAACTCTGTCAGTGCAGCTATGCCACCGGGGTACTGTTACGTGGACTTTGTCAGGCAGCATGATCCTGGCCACGGTGGACTGGTCATATATTTCCGCAAAGAGTTTGGTTGCAGAAAGATAAATTTGCCTTCATTTGTGACGTTTGAAGTTGTCGCCATTAAATTAGTAATCAATAAAAATCAATTCATTCTTCTGGGTGTATACAGGCCTGGCTCGGCACAGATAACCGTTTTATTTTTTGATGAGTTGGTGTCAGTTCTAGAGCATATAACGATGTTAAATGCAAATATTTTACTGATGGGCGACTTTAATGTGCATATCGAAAGGAAAGATGATCCAAACACCATACGTTTATTTGAAATATTTGAGGTCTTTCAACTAGTTAATCATGTTAACGAGTCAACGCATTTACGAGGTGGGACATTGGATCTGGTTGTTAGCTCCGTTGATTTTCCTATTATTAGTACTACAGTCTTACCTCATGGAGTTTTTTCTGATCACAGTTTTATAACAGTTGAAACAATAATTGCTAAACCATGTCGTATCCCAACAAAAAGGTTTGTCAGATCATGGAAAAATATTGATGAGGATAGATTTGTTGAAGCTGTCTTAAATTCTCCCCTGTCTGGTTCTTGCCTCAGCAATGATGTTGATGATGAGCTAAAAATTTTTAATGAAGAGTTGAAGAGTATCATTGACAGGCTGGTACCCAAACGGGTG